ATTCATGTGCGGCGTTCGTTGTGAACAAAGGATCGCATTGTACAGCATAACCCTCTGCTGTATTGAATTTAAATATAAGTTAGTTGGCGAGACGTCTTCAAAATAAAGATAACCATGTATTGCACATGGGTCTGATTCATCGACTGTCTTTTTTTTTTAGTGTCGTACGTAAAGGCGCTGGACATCTGGATGGCCTCGTGCACCGCCTTCGTGTTCCTGGCACTGTTGGAGTTCACATTGGTCAACTATCTGGGCAGACACAGACGCAGACTCCTCTGCTCCATCCCCTCCCAAGCCATCTACCCACACTATACGCTCAGGGTGAGTCGTTATCTGCTATATAAGTATGTGACAGAGGTACTGGTAAACATATATATCTAACGTAATCTAACCAGCTTGCATATCTAGCCTAACCTAATCAACGCTTCATAATAATGTTTTTAAAACCGACAAGTAGATAAATAAAAGACATGTGCATCACCTGGGCATCTTTACTGTGGAGACGCTTCGCCAACTAGTGACTATCAATCTAATACAGAGAATAATTCCAAAAGTCTGGAAAACATGAAGTAGTCTGAGGTGATCAGTCCCTCAGCCTTGCTAGGAAGCGTTCATTCCTGTGTCATTTTTACCTGTATTCTGTCCCATCACCTCAGCCACTCCCACACATGTACCTGTCCAACCTATTTCAACACTTCCCGAAGTGCTGGTTTCAAACGAGTACTTTCTGTCATATCTTGGTTAGATATGGTCAACATGCATGATCCAGTAGATCTACTGGCCCATGATAGGCACGTCATATTCACAGCCAGTGCTTCCCACTCACGAAAATGTGTGATTTGTTTTTACAACTGCTCACCAACACGCACAAGTGGGGGGTTGTAACCACTGTCACCACCATCCCCACACCTACCTCTACCACCACTCGCATATACCTATTAATGAATTATTATTACCACCGTCATTAACACCACCACCGCCACTACCCCTACCTGCATATTATTTCCGAACTATCTCTACCACCAGCATCACCACCAGCATCACCAACAGTATCACCACCAGCATCACCACCAGCAGCACCACCAAAATAACCACCAGCATCGCCACAACAAAGCTACAGAACACATGTGTTTTAATGTTTTAATTAAACCTTCAGCTTAAACAAGCACTTTATCTTTTTGCTAATAGGTAAAAGTAAATGTCAGTGACATGTGGCATTATTTGTTCATAACCAACACCATCTGTTCAGAATACTCACGTAGGCTGGTAGTATGTATAATATAACGGAAAGTATGGGAAGGCACCAACAGCCGACCTGCCTCTCTCTGCTCCCTATCTTGACTGACTCACAGTGCCTATGGGTGAGGGGGTGTTTGAAATCCTGCTATGGTCAGCAGCAATATGAATACAGTCAGTGATTCACGCAGAGACGGTTGGTAGTGAGTCATCTACTGGTACACTGGTTACGGTAACGGGTTTCTAGGAACTGGTTCTTCTACTGAGAGCTCAGCGGACGCTAAGTATGTCGTCCCAACATACAACTAATACATCTTGAGACGGCAGGTGTACTGCTTGGCTGATTCTATACAATGTTCAAAGTACACCAACAAATGAACATTATAACATACATAAGTAGAATATTGACGGGAAGTTATGTATGTACTGAACTGTAATGCAATTAACAGGTATAATATAGGTTTACTAAAACCACAACTCCATCGTAATGAAACTCAATGTTGGTATTACACAATAGATGTGATAAAAAAAATTGATCGCTCGATCTGTATTCATGTTGATTCTACGGATTTGAGGGAAAAGGAATATATACAAAGAAAGACGTGTTTAACCAGAAAGGGAGATTCGGTGCATCAAATCTCGACTGTTTAACTCAGAATTCGGAGAGGAACGTGAACACACAAAAATAATTCTTGAATACTGTAAGTTGATACTGTAATTATTCATCTTATTACGGGTTATTCATATTTAACCCAACTCTGCATAGGGTTGGAATTGATATATGCAGAATGGGTGTCATCTCTGGGAGGATCAAAACTCTGTTGCACATGGCTAACTCATCTGTATTGAGGCAAATTCTTGAATTGGTAGTTACAAATGATACCTGAGGATTTCTCAATACTGTGGTTACGTAAGGGAATAAACGAATTCAGGTTTGTAGTCTGACGTGTATCAGTGGTAGAGAGTAACAGGATCAGGAGGATTGTCAGAGCTCACATTAGTCTGGGTTGGAACATTCATTATCATCACATACTAACTTCATTTGATTCTAATGCGATTCTTTATACGGACCAGTATAATTTCTCTAAACCTTATCTTATTACCAGTGATATGTTCAACTACTCGATAAGGACCAACAACTTTTGATCAAGCTTTGGCATTGCAGACGTTTTGTTAATAGTTAGTCAGGCATACACTCTCGAACCTACTTTTGATTTTGGATGTCTTGGCTGAGTGTTTTCGGACTTGTAAAGTTGCTGTGGCTTCTGCAGTGTTTCCCGGCTTCTAAAAAACACTTGATGCTAAGCTAGTACGAGTTGCTATGAATCAAGGGTTGTAATTTGGTTGTTTCGGATTAGAATGATACGACTCATAAGGCAAACGTTTATCTACACCATACAATGCATAATGTGGAGTGTCACTATAGAAACATTGTAAACAGAATTTATAGCACCACTGCAATCAGGTATAACTTCTTCCAGTTTCACGTTGGGATTGATAGTGGCTCTATGTCAGTCAAGTACTTTCTATTGGTACGTTCCGTATACCCTTTGCTGGCAGGGATGATGAGGAACAATGGTGGATTTAGGATCTGGTACAAGGTGCCCAATTCAAGAATCTCATTACAGATTCACCACCCTTATCTGTTACTAGGGACTTGGGGTGGTTATGCTGCAGATATTGCGTTTCTTTATCATCACACTTTAGCTACTCTCGGCAGTTTATCTGCAATAGAACTAATCACATTATCTGGTGAAATAGGTCTACATAACCACACAGATGTTTGTGCCTTGGAGGGAACACTGGAAATTAGCGCACCTCTTTCCCAAGGTCGTAGTGGTTGGTTACATTGGATTGATTAGGACCATTAGCATTACCTTTAGTTTGCATGCAGACACTACATTTTTAACATTACTCGAAATATCAGTTGCCATACGAGGCAAAAGTATTTCAATCTGGCTTGTTTTAATGATCGATCCATCACCAGGGTGCACAACACCGGGTACATCGTGAACTAGCTGTAAGGCTACCATTCAACTAGTGGACTGTGGAATTTATAACTGGTATAACTCTTCTGCTAGGAGTACCCAACTCGGCTGTTCGATACGTAATTCTTGGTGTCATGACAAAGTCACTGTTGGTTGCTGGTGGCCTTCACAAGTCCAGAATAAGATCTTCCTGGAGCAGGAAGAGATTCACATCAGACCAATGGGATCTGTTCGTTGAGCATCTTTTACTCTTCAGCACTAAAATGGAGGGTTTGCAGTTACTATATAACATGTCGCGATAAGGATCTGCGGACATACATTGGATTGCCAGGTAAAGTGTTCAATGGTGGGATTGACTTTGGATTGTCAAGGTCATCTGCGCTAACCATCCAGTAGCGTTGTTTGTTCTGGCATAAGGTTCAGTGGAGCGTGGTCTGTCAAGAATGAACAGAGGTATGACTATTAATGTCTCAGAAGGGCTTAAAGACCATACTATTGCTTAAAGTTTCTTGCCTCAGTTACTGCTTAATTACTTCAGCCTTTCGTAAGGACTCGGCTAGCAAATGCAACTGCGTTGTATTGCCATTGGTCTTCTGGCTAGTACGGCACCTATGCCAATAGAACTAGCATCAGTTGTCAGATAGAAGGGCTTAGAAATATCTGGGAAATTTCAACATTGGAGCAGATGTGCTTTTCTTTTAAAGTTTTGGAATGCTCTTCTCTGACGGAAGGTCCAAACAAAAGGAGCATCAGTCTTAAGCAACTCGTTAGAGGAGCAGCTATGAGAATAATTGGCAATGGAAAGTCTCTAAAAACCTGCTAAGCCCACAAGGATCTTACGGCATCAGCAGTTTTGGCTGTGTTGGAAAATTTAGTACTGCAGTTACTTTACTTCGGTCAGTCCGTTACCCTTAGGAGTGACTACTGTGACCAGAAATCTTAATTTATGATCTGAAAAATTGACATTTAGACAGTGTTTGATCTTTTAAAGTGGCTTCTTCATGCTTACCAAGTACTATATCAAGTCTGTTCAAGTGCTGTATCCACGTCTTTAGGTTTGACATTTACGTCCAGCTAAGTATCACCATATAGGGCATTTCTTAATGAGACCTCTAATAGATATTAGTCATGGGGCGAAGCCCTTGTGACGTGATAGGGCCGAGGATCGTTAATCCAAATCGCACCATATCGGAGGAGGTCGATATTGACCTGTAGGTGTGGGAGGAAAAGGAAAAAAAATTGCGTTAGTTCTTGGCCTGTCCTCGGTGAAGAGGGACTTGCAACCCTGGATAACAAATCCAGGGTTGAAAAGACTCTTGTTATCTCTGATGTTACGTAAAAGATCACCCAGTACAGGGACAAGTGGAAAGCGATTTCTGGATTAGTTTGCACATTTTTAACCTTCCTAAAGCTCTCTATCACTGGGGCGCCATAGTACCCTTCTTCTTAGGCTTACTAGGAACTAGGGTGTGTTCCAAGGTGAATGCTAGGTTGCAATAACTCCATCATCAAGCATGTTGATTGATTAATTCTGCGACAGCAAACTGTGATTGAGGCATTCTGTACGCAGGGTATATAGATAGAGTCTAGTACCAGGTTCATTGGAAATTACGATGGACAATAAGTTCGTATACCCATCTTTAACTGTCTGGCAATGGCTTTACGCGTGTGTTCAACAGAGTCAACAAAGCTTGACTATTGGGAAGTCAGTGGGAAGCTATGTCTTTCTTCTCCACTGGTGGACAGATTGATCCAGTGAAGTGGATGAGGTTTCCCCGTAGAAATAGCACCGGACCCACTGGTCAGGTGACACTATCCTCTACCTGAAACAGGGTAAGGGATAGTGAACAAGGTCAACAAGATTGGTATTTGCTCTGAGACGAACACTGTGGACCAGAATAGTGTTAGCTAGGAAGAAAATGGATCTTACTCTCTCTTACAACATGTAAGGATGGTCAACAATAGACCTTTTACTTTGCAGGAATCTCACTGTCAACTAGGACCGTTATCACCATCTGGAAAAACACGGAACAACAAACAGGGACACTTTAGTGAGGGCACAGCTGCGACAGAACGTCTTTCACGCCAGACGGCATGTGACATCAACAAGAGATGGCAAATTACTAGTTGCAAGTAATCGTTTTCCGCCAAGGCGTCCTGTGGAGAAAACTACTTACTTGAACTAGCAGACATTGCAGGGATAGCTCAGCACTCGGAGTCAGAGCGTCATCGGACACTTGAGGTAACTGGACACTATCTTGCAAGTCTGAAGTTGCAGGAACCACAGACGGGAAGACAGGATCATCAGTGACCTACCGCTTGGGTACGCTACTGGAAAATGCACTGGCCTGTAAGGACTTAATTCGAATGTTCGATACTCTGCTGCAGTTTGGCAGATTCTCGGATCCAAGGCTGGTAACCCCAAATTGGTACGATCATAGTATCAATTTGGGCATGCATCGGCTTAAGGGTCGAGCACATGCGTAAGTCTAGCATGAAGCAAATCACAGTAGAAGGTCACCAGGGAAGTAATCTGGTCGACAACAAGGAAGGGAGGCAGTGAGTCTTATACCTGATAGAAAAGTTAGGGAAGTCCCGACTCGGACACGCAGGTGAGAACCAGCTTACTCCACTAAGGAGGACATGAGTCGAGTTTACGAGCGCAAGGACATGGTGTAATGCTTTATCCCTAAATAAACTAGACTGTTAATACTGACTTGCATCAGACAGAGTCATGAACAAATGAACGGGCGCAATATGAACAGTTGCTTGCACTATTGGACCTATGGTGCATTGGAAGTTATGTGCAAACAAAAAAAGGTGGATTGTCCTCATAAAGATTTGTTCCACTTCATCCCAAATCAATCTCTTCGAGGACATGTAGAAGCAAATCATCAGCAGGATTGTCATTCTTAGAGTGCTTAAGGCTTTCAAGGAATTGTGAAACAGGGAGATGGCGTATCATTATCACCTACTGTCACCATGGGTACGGTTTGACTGGGCGCTCGATCGAATTCCCGAATTGGA